CCGATTAATCGCTAATCAGTAGTTGACCGAGCAGTTATCAGTTACCGAATTCCCGAACAGTTGTCCTAAGTTGTTTGATACTTATGTGCAAAAGCTACTTGGCGAACGGTACAAATTTGGATAATAAAATTCATTGGAGGTGGGGTAGGCAAGTAAAATAATACTGATGTGCATGGTAGGGGATTGAAACCAGGGAGAGCCTCTGTACCCAACCCGAAGGAAAAATGTAGGAGAAAAGGCAAGGTAAGGTTGTCTAAGGTGTCGATTGACTCCAGATTCTTTTGTTCAATCGGTCATGAGTCCAAGGCTGCAAGACTGTATTGTTACTGCTGAGTAAATAGGTAATTTTTTGATTAATCTAATCCAAAAATAAATCACCAGCATGACAAATAAACACATGATGATATTCGATCATGCAAGTACATATTACGCTAATTGCAGACACATCTATGTATAACGCTAGCATGGCTAAAATAGAAAACAATAGGAGCGGGATAAACGAGTTATACCCTTCAGTAGGTCAGGCAGAAGCCGCTGCGGCGGCGGCGGTAGCAGCGGCGTTCTAGGCGGCCTTCTTGTCGGCTTCGAGTTTTTCGGTGGCAACCTTCTCGGCGTCAGTGGACATGATGACGATGAAAAAGAAGCAGACAATGTAGAGGAAGTAGTTGACCGAAGGCGGGCAGTCGCGTAGTCGCTCCCCAAAAACCTAATTGCCCCTCTCCCGTACAGGCTCATATAGGTGTGTTCCTCCAAAAATCGCTCTGTAGGGTAGCATCTTGCTTATATAAGATTTGGAATACATTAAGACAGTAGTCAACATACCATACAATTTCCGAGAGTATTGCATCTATAATGGAGTGTGTTAGTAAAGTTACTCTTCTCAATTCACCAATGGCTTGTTTTCCCAGGTCCTACTTCATGGGATCTCCGGTCACGGGTTACCACCATGGCAACACTGGGTCTCATACCCATCTCCCTCGATGCATTATCTATCACAACACACGATAGCCCTTTAGTAAAGAAATCTGCCAGATACTTAGCCGTTTGGACATAATTCATCGCTATCACTCCAGAGTTTCTTAATTTACTGATAGCTTTTAATCTCATTCTTATGTGTTTGTTGGACTTCACGTTGTTCTTTGAACTCTTCACCTTGACAATAATAGTCTGATTGTCATAGTTCATAAGGATGGCCGGAACCGTCTTCTCAACCAATGGCAAGTCCACTAAAAGATCTCGAAGTCATTCTGCTACGACACCAGATGTGTCCAATGTTGTTAATTCTTCTTCCATTGCCGATCTTGTTAAAATCGTTTGCTTGCAAGACTTCCAAAAAATATCACCACCTCCAAGAGTAAACATATACCCAGTTGTGGCCTTCATCTCATCAGTATCAGAGATCCAATTCACGTCACTATACCCTTCAAGTACCGGCGAGTACCCGGTATAGTGAAGTCCATAGTTCATAGTACCTTTTAGATAGTGCATAACTCTTCTAATAGCATGCCAATGTACATCACTCGGATTGGAAACAAACCGGCTCAGTTTGCTGGCAACAAATGCGACGTCAGGCATCGTTGCTCTCACTAGGTACATGAGTGAACAATGACTGAGAGTATCCCAATTGATCTTTACCTGTGCCTTCAACTTTCGAAACAACACACTAGGATCATATGGTGTTCAAATTGTTTGGAGTCCGAATATCCAAAACGACTCAACACCTTCCAACATAACAAGATTGCAGAAGTGTAGTCCCACACCTTTCCTTCATGACCATCGATGACAAAGCCATCTGACTGTTGCATGTAGATTTCCTCGTCCAACTCTCCGTTCAGTAAAGTCGTCTTAATATTCATCTGGTGGACGAGAAGACAATGTGAGGCCGCCAACGAGAGTAATAGCCCTTTGCCACAAGGCTAGCCTTGTACTTTTCAATCGTACCGTTGGGCCTAATCTTCTTTTTGAACACCCACTTACATCGCAATGGTTTGCCACCATAAGAACAGTGATCTCCCATGTCCCGTTAGCCATGATGAAATCCCTCTCGCTACGGACCACATCCTTCCAGCAGTCAGCTTCTAGAGAGGCATACACTTCTGAAATAGAAGTGAGAGTATCATTCACGAGGTACACGAATAAATCATCACCAAAGGTCTTTGCAGTCATTTTTCTCTTACCCCCTACCAACGCGTTTTTTTTATATCGGAGAGGCATGGCTATTCCTCTCGCAGAAGCAAAATCATGCCTCTCATGAAAGAAAAAAATAAATAGAAAACACGTCTTGAACTCCTCTTTCCAGGTTGAATATGAGATGCATGCCTGCATAGAATATACTCCATTCATTCCTAAATATAAATCTTTGTAGATATTTCACTATAGACTACATACAGAGTAAAATGAGTAAATCTATACTCTAAAATGCATCTATGTACATTCGTATGCTAACGGAGGGCGTAGTTTATGTGAATAGCCTGTGCTAGCTTGCAGTAGGTACGGAACATGTCAAGTAGGAGTTTGCTCCAGCCGCTGAAGGGTTCACGGAGTGGCCATGGAGGACCAACGTGCCTGATGACCATCAACAAGGAGTCGTCTTACCGCGTGGCGGCCGTCGACGAGGAGTATGACCAGCTACCGACATTGGCCACGATGAATGTAAAGCGTGCCCAGCCAACAACACCGGCGACAAGGTCTTCCAGCACGACCACTGACAAGAAGTTGTGCGCGTGCCCACGTTCTTGCAGGCATGAAGCCGCCACTAAGGTCTCATTTGGTTGCGGGAGGGAACAAATCCAGGGAAGCTAACCACCTCGGGAGAATTTG